CCAAACACACATTCATCTGTACAATGTGGGGCTCCAGGTGAGTGTCCAATGGGTGTTAACTCATCAGAAAGGAAATGGAGCAGAGAGGGCTGAGCAAAGGCCTAGTCCCAACACTGCTACTTACCAGTCCCATACCCTGGGGCCAGTTCACAGTAAGATTCCCTAGAGTTTGAGTTAATGAGCTAACACACCTCTGATAGTTCACGCGGTAGATGGGCCCATCGTGAGTGCTCAGTCAGTTCTTGTTCTGGCCTAAGCAGAGCAGCCCCCCATGTCCCTGTGCTGCCTTTTCTCCCCTGTCCATTCTCTATTTCTTCTAATCAAAGTCAATGAAAATAGAAAGATTGGTCAAAATTCTGACCTAGAAGCTTTTATAGAGAGGAGATAAAAATAGTCTTATAAATGGCATTACAGAGGCCAATGAGGCTTATCCAAGGCGTCATTATTGCTTGAAATCGAAACCTTTTCCCAAATGGCATTTCAGGCTATCTATTGATTTTGATATTCCGGACTCTTTTATTCTTCCTTTCTTGGCCATAATAATTAAGCACAAATGTTGGCTTTCAAAGCAGTCACCTTGGGTGGCCTCATGTTTATTCCAACTCTAACTCTTGTTTGCCTCAAGCCACATGTAAAGAAATGGTAGCGGTGCCAACGCTGTCTGGTGCCAGTTTGTTCCCAGGGCTTCAACTCCACCTGCAGAAGTTCTAATCAATTCTATTTCCTCCTCTGCAGGGGAAATGCTCTCTTTTCCTACCTGTCTACGGTAGAAGTGATTGCTGTCATCGACCTCAAAAGGTAGATTGGGACGGGGTAGAAGACCACCCAGTCATGCCTTGAAAGCATTCCTCCCTGGCCATCAGCCAGGACACCTGACAGGGTCTCTCCAGCCCTCTACCCAGTACCAGGTGTCCTCAAACTATGGCCCACGGGCCACATGTGGCCCACTGAGGACATTTACCCGGCCCGCCAGGTGTTTATGCCGCTGCTGCCTGTCCTGCTTAGCAGCCGACTGGTCCTGGGGCCCACAGTCTGGCCCTTCAATGGTCTGAGGGACAGTGAACTGGCCCCCTGTTTAAAAAGTTTGAGGACCCCTGCCCAGTACCCTGCCTTACCAGATACCCCAGTTAGGGTTTAAGCCAGCCTCCAACTCCCTCCCCATTTTAATTTAGCAGTCTCTGCTCATC